TGATGACATGCACAGTTTAAATTCTACCACATTCATGAAAAGATAAAGGTCCTAATCAGATTCCCCAGTTATCAGGAATTCCATATAAGTACTTACTTCCCAATCTCTTCTGCCAATAATCTTCATCTTAGGTTCCTATAAACATATTCCCCATTTTCCTCTTTCTTCCCTAACCTACACCTTCCCCAGTGTCCATAATTCTCAGAGGATTCCTCCACCAGTGCATCCAGCTTTTTCTTACTTTCTACAAAAAAAGATCAACTATAGGTTCCAGACATCAAAGATCTCAGCAAAATGCAAACTATAAAGAGTGATGTGGAGATAAAAGACCCAGGAAATAAAATTTGAAAGACAGAAGGGCACAAAAGGCCTCTTTTATAACAAAATAATAAAGAAAAGGGGGTTGACAGACGGATGGAAAGAAAAATCCCACTGATTATCCTAAACATTTATATAAAGCACAACATGCATTATTACATTTGAGCCATGCACAAACAAGGAGAATCAATAATTGATAGTAGTTTTTACACTAATGGCACATTGCAAAGGGAAAGAAAAGCCCCAAATGCCTTGGTCAGGTAGCGCTAAGTCCTGCCCTCCTTAAGTGTCACTAGCCATTCCCATCTTTGTGCTGTTCAGTAGGTCACTGAAAAATGCACCGTGAAGCAGACTTGATCTGAACTGAGGTGGGTTTCCAGTAGACTCTGCCATGGTTCTGTAAACCTGAGCAGTCAGGTTCCAGTGCAGCCCGAGGCTGCTTTTCAGAGTCTGGGCCAGCAGGGGATAGTGCAGTTAAAGAGTAAAAGATAAAAGTATCCAATACTTTTTCAGGGTCAGGCATCTCTACTCCCTGTCCTCCTGCTTTACTGAAGGCAGAAACTGATCAAGAAAGAGTGCCTTCTACCTTTGGATGCCATTACTTTCCCATGATGTCCTACTCCACATAAAGTATTGTTATTATGAATAACTTGGTTTACATCTATGGCAAGTTAATAAACATTATATAATTAAGGGAAAAGTTCTAATTTTTCAATATCATTTTATCAGGAATATAATTTTCCCTTCATTTCAATATACCATGAAGACAACTGGTTAATTTCTGAAGTATGTGAAACTGAAAATGGTTTAAAATTATAATAATGTGAATAGGCATTATAAGTACACCAGAAGATAAGGTGAGAGTAAGGGAAATCTGTGATTTATAGTTAACAACTGCTTCCAGAAGCTACATAGTCATATAAAATTTGGTCAGTTTAATAATTTTATTAATTTAGTCAATGAAGGGAAACTGCATATTTCCTAGTGCATATTGCACACATCACTGCCATTAGAATTGTTATAACACTATTCTAAGCTCATGAAATATCTCTGGGAGGTTCCATATGCCTTCCTATCAGCTATTACTAAATGCTTTGGCCACTTTTTTGTCAATATTCTCTACAAACTTTCTTTCATCTCTGATGAGGTACAAGCCAGTAACAACAAATTGTTGGCACTGAATTTTGCACTCCTTAACCTTATTCACCTTTATGTGAGCTTGTAAAAATAAGGTGTATAGTTTTTTGAGATCCACATAGACATAGTTAACAGGTACCTTACCTAGTACAATGTGTCAACCACTGGTATAAGCAAGTTACATGTAATAATCCTCAAAACAAGCCTATGAAGTAAATACAAACAGCTTAGGAAGAACACTGTGAACAAGTTCACTTAGTAATGATCAATTTTTATCTAAAATGTCCACATTTAGCCAGAATAATATCTAAACATATATTAAAAAAAAATACCCTACAACTAATAATTTTTTCATATGTAATGATATTTACTTTCTAGCTGTAGAAGATAAATTCTGTTCCCTCTCTGATTCATGTACCCCAAACTGGTTCAAATTTTATCTGCTAGTAAAGTTTAAAAAGAAGAGTAAAATACTATCTTTCCTTTAAACTAGGCATAGCTAACTTTTTGGCCTTAACACCCAGATGCAATGGATAGATTAGGCAACAAAAATCCAAAAGGCCAATGGGATCCTACTAACATGGTATGCACGAACTTATTAGACTTTTTTTTTTAAACCTTTCATTACCACCATTTAGAAAGTTTCCAAAAAGTTTTAAAAGTTAATGTTAAAATGAGGGGGGAAGGCCAAAAGCTACACAGACTTGTATGAGTTTTTACCATTTGGAAAAATGCTGAAGAAACCATATTAGAAATCTCCTAAGGTGTGAAAACTTATATAATACACGGAGACTTAAAGAACCAATTAGAGTAAGGTCCCATGGGATTTTGTGAGAAATGGTAAATGACAGGATGCCACAAGAAACACCACTATGTTTTCACTGTAGTTCAAATGATGACCTTGGACACCCAAAGGATTGGATCTTCTAGAAAACTATTTAGAAAATGTTAAAATAGAGATAAAAATAGGCATTACTCTTACGCTAGTTAATAAAAATTAATTTACAAACTATAAATGGCCTAATGGCTATCTGCTTTAGGAACAATTTAAGAAGAATATGTTCACATTACCTTCATGTTAACTTTTGTAGGCCCTCACCATTTCTCATTTAGTTTATGACACCAGCATTCTAATGATATTCTGTTTCTAACCCTCCAATTCAACCTTTGCATTGTCACTAACCACACCTAAGTAACAGAGAACCTTCAATTGTTTGGTTCCCTGTTACAGGATAAAATCCAAATTCCTTAGCAGTACACATTCACTCTGTTTCTTTTCCAGCTGTCCTCCCAAATGTACCATTCATGTGCAGGTGCTCCTTTCACAGTCTCCATCCTGTTCCTGACTAAACACCAACCTTCATGTACCTCCATCTCTGTGGCGGTCAAAGCCCAAACCCACCCTGTGTGTCTCAGTGCCTGTAGGTGCAGGCCTCATGTCCCCAAAATGCCATGCCATTTCATGCCCCCGTATATATGTTACTCCTTCTGGCTGGAATGCCTTTTCCTCTGTCTCTGTTTCCTCTGTCTGATCAATTTCATCCTTTAGGACTCAGTCTTGTATCTTGTGGGAAGCTTTCCCGACACCGTCACTCTTGGATGGGTTAGAAGCTCTTTGGATATGGCACTGGACTCCCCACTAGACTAATAAACTGCCTGATCACTTTCTGATTGGACAAGTCCATTTCTTCATACATATGTTAGCATTAATTTGCTATCACATTGAAATAATGTATATCAAAATCACTTTGTAAACAGTGAAGCACCATGCAAGCATTAGTAATTTTATCATAAACCAAAAGAGTGCGCAGTATTCTAGAGCAAATATCCTTCAATTTAATCTAAGGGTAAGAGTCATCTCTTGGTTTCCAGTCTCCTCTCCAAGAATGTTCTGCATTTTAATCAACTTTCTGGCTCCACTAAGTCCTTGTGTTTCTATCCTCAGTAAAAAAAAAAAAAAATTCTATAGTGATGTTCAAGTCATTTGAAGAATACAGTAAATGGGAAGCTCCTGAAAAGTAAGGATTTTCCTTTTTCCCACCATTCCTCATGACTTCACAAGAGCACTGTGTCATGAACATACAACTACTGAGTAAATATGAAAGAACTAAATGAATACAAGCATTACCCTGTCCTTAGTGAGTTTATGATCAAAAGGAGTGATTTCACAGATCCCACCTGAATCTGACCTTATAAACATGGTAACAAATGCCTTTAGTGTCATCTTAAAGTGCAATAATAAATTAAATTACCTGCTATGCTTATTTTATTTGGTGATTTGACACATACTGGAATTGCTACCTTAATAATTCATCCTTAAGATATGAATGTTTTAACATTATCAGAATCACTGATGCAATTCAATACCTAGTTATTGGATGTCTACTGCACTAGGCCCTGAAAGTACAAAGGTGATGGACTCTGCCTATAATAAGCCTCTAAACATATAGAAAGGAAGCTAAGTCATCCATACATATAATTAATACAAGACAGAGTGCTATAAGATGTATAGAGAACCTAGGGGGAGTGACAATCAATGAAGACATTTGAGTTAGGGGCATTGGGCCCATGAAAATTAAATTGATATTACAAACTACCGGTGGCCAAAAGCTTCTGTTTCTAATGAATGTCTACTATACATTACATATGTAATATATATGCTGTATGCAATGGGAGATATTTCTGATTGCCCTCCTCCTTACTCTAATTTAATTATAAACCTAATTGTGTGTTGCTGTCCAATAAATATTAACACGCATATCACCATTAAGTGTCCAACCACACACAGTTCCAAGCCCTTTAGGTATATTTTCTCATTTACTTTCCACAACAACCCTACCAGGTAAGTATAATTATCCCCATTTAAAGATGAGGAAGACGAAGAATAGGACCGGTATTTTTCAAGGTTAAGAGGCAAAAACAAAAATATGTAAATGAGGACCTACGAGACAGAAAATCGAGTATTCCATACAGTGAGGGCAGACCCACTTGCCAGAACTGCTTCATGCAGTGCTTTCACCTCTCTCGAACACACCCAGTGGGAGTAACCTATCTCCTTTCTCTTCCCGCCAGGGATTAATTTTCTTTTCCCGAGTCCATAACTGAACTGTTGATTCTCGAGCAGATCCTCTCAAACCTTACCACTCCAGGGGACGTGCTGCTATTTAAGTCATAGGCAGCTCAGGGTAAATGAGACCAAATCAGATCCCCAGGTGGACCAGGCTTGGTAGGATCAGGAAATTAAACCTTTCAGGCTGGGGATCCGTTCCTGGATCAGCTCCAGGGGATAGCAGCAGCGGCGGCTCACCCAGGAGGCGCTACCCCCAGCGGTATTCTCTCCTCCTGACCCCGAGCAGCTTGGGTTTTGCCATCTGCTCATTTACCCTTCAGCGGCCGGCGCTCCCTACACAATCTCCACCCTGCCCCACCAAGTGCCAGGCCTCGCGGGCCTCCCTCTCCGCGGAGGCCAGGTCCCAAACCACCCCGGGGCGTGTCAGCCCCGGCAGCGGCAGCCCGTCCCGCCCAAACCCGGGCCTGCTACTCACGGTTCCAGTACACTGGGTAGCACTCTCCTTGGGTCACATCCACCTCGTAGAGGCCGCCCCGCACGCACACTGGCTCGATATTCACCAGCTCCACCAGCTCGGGCTCGAGCCCCGCCGTGCGCGGGCAGAAGCCGCAGGCGCTGTCCACGTCTTCGTACTCCCCGGAACTGGAGGCCGGGTCGGCGGGAGAGGCCGTGCCGCACACATGGTCGCCGTCCCGGTGCTTGGCCTGGGGCCGGCCACCCGTGGCCTGCAGCAGGGTCCGGAAGGCGAGTTCGATGCGGAGCGAATCGTAGCCGATGAAGGGTTTCCAGGTCTTCTTGTCCTCCTTGTAGAACCAGCGCACTTCCTCCGGGCCCAGCTCCGTCACTACCTCGTAGCGGTGCCGGGCAGCCGAGCCGCCCGGCCGGGTGCGCTTCCTCTCCCCTGTCCCCCCTCCCGCCGCCCCGCCACCCCCAGAGTTCGTCGCGACCAGCGGCGGCTGCTGCGGCGGGTGCAGCGACAAGGAGCTGCCGCCGCCTCCGCTCTCGCCCTCGCTGTAGTAGCGCAGCGAGGAGCCCGACTCCGCCGAGCTGAAGTCATAGTTCTCGTCACTGAGGCAAGAGTCCAGCGCCAGGTGGTGGTTGTGGTCCTCGGCGCCCGGCGCCGAGTGCAGCCCCGGCTCCCCGCGCAGCAGGGCCAGGGGCACGTCGCCGTCGCCCGGATCCCCGCCGGGCAGGTGCTCGAAGCAGCAGACGCTGCCGCCGAACGCCGGCTCTGCATCCGAGCCCAGCTCCCAGGCGCCGCCGCCTCGGCCGTTATGTTCCGGGCTCCGCGGCGACCCGCGGCCCGGATAATTCATGGTGTAGAGACGCCGCCGGCTGCCCGGCCGCGCGCCGAGCCGTGACCCCCAGCGCTTCTGCCACACATTCAACGCCGCCGCTTTCTCCACCCGGAGTTTCTAATCTTTCAAATCCCGACAGGTGATGCGGCGGCGGCGGCAGTGGCTGCAGCTCCACCACCCACAGAGGCCAGCAGCCGCGGCCCGCGGCCCGCCCCATTGTCACGCAGCCCGACGTAGGCGGCGCCTGGGCCCGGCCCCGCCCCTCCGGCCTGCGCACCGCCCCGGAAGTCAGAGCTGGGTCGGCTCAGGTCGCCCTCCACTCCTGGGCCCCTCGACCCCTTCCCGCCGTCCCTCCGGTGTTCCTGCCCGGCTGCCTCAGCCCCTGGCCCTCCTGGGTTTCAGAGCCGGTCTGTGGAGAGGCTTTGCTCCATTCATCCTTACAATTTTGAGTCATAAGCCCAGAAGCTTAAACTGGAAGTCAGGAGGGCCCCTGGAAGTTGGATTCTCCTGATAATTGCTTTCTTGAGCCTTAGGCCCTCCTCCGTTCTGCCACCTATTTCTGGACCCTCCAGAGTTGTCGCCCACATGAGGACACTCCGCCCAAAATACACTCACCTTGGCGTCACTACTCCCACTCAGAAACTCGAGTACAAACCTCCCTTCATAAGCCATCTTTTATTGTTGCCTATCTTTCCATATTTGGACTTCCTGTTTTCTCAACTTCATTTTATGGCCCTTGATGGAAACCAAGTCAGCCTCTCCTGCACAATCAGTGTTTGTCGATTATAATGATGGCAAATCCAGCCATCCAGCTGTGGTAGAAAGATGATTATTATATTGAAAGCTAGAAAACAAACTAGGTTCTGGATTTAGCTTTAATAACCATGGGCAAATCTCCCTGATCTTTTTGGTTTGCACTTTTGTAAAATTAATATTATTGGACCAGATGATCTCTAAAGTTCCTTCTAGCAATAGAATTCTGTGACCTTTAAGGTTTCCTCCAGTTTTTATGCATCGCTGATTCTATAACTTAACTTTCTGTGATCGAGTTGAATACAGAGGCTCCCTTATGTGGTTTAAAAAAAAAAGTTTTTATAAGTTCATCCTCCAATGTTGAGAATCCAGAGAAAAACAACCTACAACTTCGGTGTTCTGAATTTAAGAATAATCTTTGTTCTTTTACTCCCTTTGTGGTGGAATCCGAAGGAATCAGTCCCTGTTTCTTCTCCAATATTTCTATTGACAATATCCAAAATATGAAATTGGGTATGAGCTTTGATCTATTTACTACCTATGCAAGCATTCATTCTACAGTGTTTTCAGAACCACCTAGGTGCTAACTTCTAATACAAAAAGAGAATGCGAGGTTCTTCAAGGAACTTACATCCTAGTGGGGGTATACAGACAAGTGTTGCGGCTGCTTTTGCTCCTGAGCTTGGTAGCAAAGGAATGAATAATTACTCGAAAGACATAGTGTTTCCAGAAAAGGGGGGAAACCAAAGTCTGAAGGAGAAAATAGTCTCCTCAGTTAACTTCCTCTCAGTATTTATTTCCAAGGACATGTGCAAAAGATTGGGGTCATTTGCTAATTTCTTTAACAACTTCCATACAGGTCAGGAATCAGCTGACCATTGCACACAGCAAACAAGCAGCTTCGCGCAGGCGTTTTCGCCTGACCCTTCATTCACCCGACCCTTCATTCACCCTGCTCATGTTCTTTCCATCCATCCATCCATCCTTTCTTCTAGGCCCAGCCCCCACAGACAAGTAAACAGATACATTATAGTACAGTGTGAAACATATTGTAAAGGGAATTAAAAATAAGCAATATCATAACATCTAATATATCTCTATTCCTTTGTTTTTTTATATGAAACATATCCTAACTACATAGCTATCCAGTTAGATTATTTTGACCAAATTTTAACTTTTAAAGACTATACAAAACCCATGAATGAATATTATTAAAAAATAATCCCTGCCTTATATTAAATGAATGTTTCTATTGTTTAAGTGTTGTGGTTATTTGGTTGAGAGGATTTCCCTCTTGTGGTTCATTGGGTAAGGCCACATTCTTTTAGATAGCATGATTTTTATTGAAGGAAATGTTGATTCTCAGCATAATCCAGTTATCAGGAGAAGGGAGTCCTAGATTCTCTTCTGACCTCATTATCTTGGTCTAGACCTTCGTAAGTGGTAATATCAATCAGCATTTCTGGGAGTTGACATTGCTTTTACCCTTTAGAAGCGAGCTAGGGCTAGAAGGGCAGACTCATGTACTGGGTCCTAGGCTGAGCCCATAAAAGATATTTGAAAGCATAATATCTAATTTCACATGACTGCATTTTTTAAAAATTCCCTAGCCATATCTTTTCAACTTTCTTTTCTGCTTTAGAAAGTCTTGCTTTATCTGATGTTTTCTGCTACTACTCTCCTTTTGTTTTCTAGAGCATCTTTTCTGGTCATATGATCCTGACAAGAGGGGGAAGGGTTGGGGCCTCTATTCCAATCCCCACCCGCTGGAACAGGTATCAGGTGGCTCCCCACCACTCTACATCATTAGTGTGTACAATGGACACAGCAGTATCTGAACTGCTGTGGCTGTATGTAAAACATTCTATTTTATTTTAATAATCACCCAAGACCAAATCTCTCTCACACAAGGCAAATAAGTATGGTTGATTCAGATTTCCGGCATTATTGGGCCGTGCTGCTGCAACAACCAGGTGCATGTAGATCCAAGCCTGAGAGTTCTTGGTGTGAGAGAAAAAAAAAAAAAAGAGGTAAAGCCAGCTGGTTTGTACTACAAAAGACTGAAACAACTTATCTGCCTGTCCTACCATCCTCCCTTCCCCATTAGACATATGGCGAGGGCGATCTGGTGACAGTGGACATCTTCCCCTCCATGCCTCTCAAAAGTTACATGGGTGAATTTTGTGCCATCTTTCCCTTTGCTTCTTCCTTTAAGCTTGTCCCTGTTGTTCATTTTAACCTGTTTTCAACTGTGAAAAATTATTAGGGATAGCTTTATGCCATGTAATTCATTCTGAGCCAACATCCCACACCTGCACTTGAAACAGCTTCATCCGCATGTGTAATGGAATACATATATTTAAAATGAAAAAAGAGGGCAGGATAACCATACCCCCATCTACTTCATCTCCCATTTGATAAGCCATCCATTACATTTTATATTTTATTTTACTTATTTTGGTGATATTTATCCAGTTTCTTAAAATGAGAGTGTGTTCTTTGGTGCACTGACTAAATGGAATAACAACCTAGAGTGAAGCAGGGACAGTCAATGGACATATATATCTAAGGTGTCTGCTAAGTTTCAGGCACTGTGCTAGGCTCTACAGCAAAGCATTCGCAGCCTACTGGTATCTTTATATAAAACCATAATACCAACTATATTCCTATGAGGAATATAATTGTAGTAATACCAGTATAGCTGTGTCACCACCACAGGCGTCATTCTCTCCCTAAAGACAGATCAATAGAGACATCAAATTACAATCCAAAGGAAGCTAGGTGAACAGAAATAATACAGGAATACATGATGAATAAAGTCATTCATCCTTCCATTTATTCATTCAACAAATATTTATTGTCCAGTGCTATTTTAAAGGTGGTTTAGTTTTATCTGAAAACACACTTAATTTAGAATTATCAAATGCATTGACTTAAAGATTTATAAGAGGCCTGTCTACAAAACCATACTTATCAAAACCCCATAAATATGTTTTATATTTCTTTTGGAAGTAAAGGTCAATGGTGTTGAAGGTACATATTCAAATAAAAGAAAATGCAAATCAATACAATATTGATGCTATACTCTATGGACGCGGCCACAAAATCCTTGTCAGCTTGTTTATATCAGAAAGAGAAGATTTGGCTATATTCCTGCCCTTTCATTATAGAAATGTGAGTTAGGCCATAGCTATAGGCTGTTGTGAGGTTCACATTACACATCCATTGTAGATGTATTTGATGACTTCTGTGCTCTAGGATTTTTTCCTACCTCACCCCAGAGGTAAATTGAAAGCACATATTTGTTCACAAAGTGTATGATATATAACTCTTATGAGCCTTCAATAAAAAGTAATTGATAATCATAATATTGTGCTGAGAGATTTAGAGTAGCATCTTGTATATGTGTATCTTATTCTGATTTTCATTTGACAAGTTAAAAAGGAAAGAAGAGAGAAGCTATATTCCAATAAGGATTTCCACTTGTGCAACTCTGGGTAATTTGCTGAGTGTTTAAAGGATTGAACAGCAGAATCGATTTGTGTTTTTGCAACTGCTGCTTAAGAAAGTATGTTTATCCTTACATCATAAGTCAGCATTTCAAATTTAAGGTTTCAGCTTGAACAAAATGTGCCTCTAGGCTCACAAGCCCACAAATCTCTTCCATAGTTTTCCCATTGGGTTTTTGAACCACACTTGACAGCCATTAGGATAATATCATTAATAAATTAAAATGTGATGGTGAAAAAGCAAAGTTCTTCAGAAATTTAATCTTCAAGATTAAGCAACCTGTGTTTTAAATATAAGAAGTGAGTAACAATGGCCCTGCATTTGGAACTTATTTTTTCTGTACTTAAGTTTAGAACTTCAGATTTAAACTACTTCTTAATCATCAATGACAGTTCACAGTCCTTCATTTGATTATTTATATGACTCTACTCAAGTTAAAAATTATAAACTTTGATCACTCATGGTACTATACTTCTCAGGTTAGAAATTATAAACCTCAAGTGCTCTTGAAATAATTTTAAGGAAGATACAGAGCAACAGTGTATTAGTTTCCTGGGGCTGCCATAACAAATTTGTCATCAACAGCATGGCTTAAAACAATAGAAACTTACTCTCTCACAGGTCTGGAGGCTAGAAGTCTGAAATCAAGGTTTCAGCAGGGTTGGTTCTTTCTTTTTTTTTTTTTTTTTCCGAGACAGAGTCTCACTTTGTTGCCCAGGCTAGAGTGAGTGCCATGGCATCAGCCTAGCTCACAGCAACCTCAAACTCCTGGACTCAAGCAATTCTACTGCCCCAGCCTTCCGAGTAGCTGGGACTACAGGCATGCGCCACCATTCCCGGCTAATTTTTTCTATATATATTAGTTGGCCAATTAATTTCTTTCTATTTATAGTAGAGACAGGGTCTTGCTCTTCCTCAGGCTGGTTTTGAACTCCTGACCTTAAGCAATCCGCCCGCCTCGGCCTCCCAAAGTGCT